GCATCATTCAAATTTAACTGAATCATTAAACATTCACACTCACAATACATAATTCATTACAATCGGACTACTATACAACTATTCTAAGTTTCATTTACAAGTTCACATCCATACTAAGGCATCAACCAATTTGGAAAACATAATTATTGTTATCTATTGCGCAGCTATCAACAAAGTAAACACTACTTAATATTTGGCTATCAACAAGTAAAGAAAGGTGCTTAGGCAGCTGCTTTAGCCATCCTTTATGTTCCCTAAATCACCCACTTGCCTCCTGATTTGTCATTTACTCCTGATATACCCAAAAGTCCAGCTCTGTTCAGTAGCATACATTACAGGGAATAAGAGAAATAATACACAACAAAAAAAAAAGACCATCTTTCTTCAACTTATACACCCATTTGTTTTTCAAGGCTCTCTTGCCTCTTGGAAGTGGAACAAGCTCATAAGTGTGGTTCTTCTGCAAAGAACTCATCTCTTCCTTCATGGCTTGCACCTAACAGTCTTTCTCTGTATGACTCTTTGCTTCCAAAAAACTCTCGGGCTTCCCTTCATCAATAATCAGAATATACTGAGAAGCGGGATATTTGGTTGATGGCATGGCAGCTCTTCCAGATCTCCGCAAATGAGGCCCAATTGCCTCTGGTTGAGGGGGTTGCTCTTCCTGCTCAACACCTTCTTCTTCCGGGTCTTCATCTCTTTCCTCTTGATCCTCAATTTCTGGCATAAGATCCTGTAACTCTGGCACTTCTTGTTGCACATCATCACGTCTAGCATTTTGTGATGGCTCGGGAGATAGAAACAAGTCTAAAGTGATGACATCTCTAGACTTTGCAGATTTCTCAAAATCTGCTACTGTCTGGTCTTCTTGGAACACAACATCTCTGCTCCTGAACATCTTCTTGTTCACTGGGTCCCACACCTTGTACCCAAATGCTGCATCTGAATAGCCCACAAATATGCATGGAGTGGACTTGTCATCAAGCTTCTGTCTATTTTCCTTGGAGATGTGTGCAAAGTCCTTACACCCGAAGACTCTCAAGTGAGAATATGATACCTTTCTTCTGGACCAAACTTCCTCAGGTATCGCAAATTTCAACGGGACTGAAGGCGACCTGTTGATGAGATAACAAGCTGTGCGGGCGGCTTCAGCCCAGAATGACTTTAGTAACTTTGCCATTTTGAGCATACATCTGACTCTTTCAATAATAGTGCGGTTCATCATTTCTGCCACACCATTATGTTGTGGGGTGCTGGGAACTGTTGTCTCATGCCGGATACCTCTGCTGGCACAGTATGCTGCAAAAGCATTGGAAGTGTACTCACCTCCATTATTTGTGCGAAGACACTTCAACTTCTTCCCAATCTCTCTTTCAACCATTGTATGGA